GACATCAATATCCTATCGAGTGCAAGCACATTTTCAAAGGCCAGCGTACAATGGGCCAAGCAGGCATAATACGAATAAAAAATTACAGCTGGTTTGTTCAATTGACATTTTTTAACATGCCAATAATAAAGATTAAATTATGAATGTAATAAAAATTATGAATATTATAAAAGATATATATATTAAATTGTTTTAAGTCAACTTTTAGAATTAACTTTCTAGCTGTGTCAAGTTAAGAAATTAGGAATATTTGCAGCAACTGCAGCGAGAAATGTAGCAATTAGTTAAGCAAATTTTGTGCGCATGCCACTGTGCCCCAATGTTTTAATCAAGCGTCCACAGTGGCGCCCATCCGTGTGCAGCGTCAAGACGAGATGAGACGAGAGTAACCGCGTCTAAGACCAAGAAACATTCAGCGAAGCATGCGAATATTTGGCTAATACGAAATGAGCGCTAAGAAATTCCGAGTGCATAGCTTAAACCAGGGAGGACGCTAAACCCCTTGCTGTGCGACTCTGTGGCCAGAGAGAGAGAAAGATATATACATATATACATATATATAGATAGAGAGATTGAGTGAGAGCGCAAGAGTTGCTGGCAAGGCGAAAGCAAACTTAATGCAATCAAACTTAATGCAGCGCATCGGCTGGCCGAGACGCCGAGACGACGAGACGATTAGACTTGGGACGGGGGTGAGGGGTTTTAGCAGCGGTCGATGGGGTCGGAACAAAGTGTGCCCTTGGAGCTTACTACCTGCGGTGAATTTTTAAGCAATTTACATAATAATTATCGAGCAGACGCAAGCCAAACGAGCCAACTCGGCCCATTGGGACTGCGCCTGAAATATTGAAAAACTTGAGCAACTTGATAACAACTACATAATTAGTTTTCACCAGCTTGTGCTAGCTGTGAGTTGCAACAACGAGTCCAACTAAGTATTCCAATCAATTTAAATGTGACCAATTTAAAAGCAATCGAAACTTAAACCAATCAAATATGATTTAATTAACTAAAATTCATTGACAAATGCAGTTGTTAAGTTAGGAAGTCAACATATTTAGTATGATTATTTTGTTCATTTCTCTCAAGTCAATTTAAGCAGTTGACATATTTGACATGATTAAAGTTCAGTTCGTTTAAGGAAAGCATAACAAGCAACTTTGTTTTTCACTATTCACAAATAACGCGCGACACGCTGTCGAAACTTTAAGTCAATCAAGAGAAACATTTTTGAAAAGTGTGCAGCACAAATCCGGTGCCAAAAGCATGAGCAGATTTTTCAAAAAATACATACATATATATACATTTATATATTTGACAAATGCATTGTGGAAAGGTGTTAAGGGCTTGTGGAAGGGGGGTGGATTTGTAGGGCTGTTGAGTTTACATTGTGCGCTTGTTTAACTTAAATTGCTTTACTTCTGCTGCTGCTGCTGCTGTTGTTGTTGCTGCAATGACGAAACAAAAGCCAAGAACTACAACAGCTTTTGCTCAATGCGCTTCCGTTTCCGTTTAACCGCTTCCCTTGCATCCACTACCCCGTCACCTGCCACCATGCCATCAACCACGGCAGCACCCCAAACAGCATCCAAAGTTTGGCATTGTTGTCTTTGGCACTGCCTGTGGCAATCACTTCGTTCCACCAGCTTCTTCTCAACACCCCAAAAATCGAAAACAACTCCCCCAACCCACCCACATCCCATTTGCCACTTCTTGGGCAACTCGTTGAACCACCAAACACTTCCGTTGGCTTCCGTCGTGCTACGTGGCGCAAAGTTTAAGTATAAAGCGCACAATTTTTTTCCACTTTTTTTTCTGGCTTCCAAAATGTATTTTAAGCTTCAGTGTTGGATTTACCCCAAAGGAATTGCATACGTTTTTGATTGAGCAATTAGGGAATGCACAAATAAAGGACCGGCAAGGGGCACCGATCTGAAGGGGCGCATTCTGGAATTTTCTCATTATTTTTGCATTTTGGCATTTGAAATTTAATTTGAAGTGTCAGACGCAAAGTGTACACTTTTCATAATTTGCCTGCTGTGCGTGTAGGGAATTCAATTTTGATTTGGCATCCGAGCTACGGCTATGGTCACCGCTTTGCCTCCCACAAAACGGGGGAGTGGCCTAACCGTGCAGCGGACAACAGCACAAAACCGCACTCATGATTAGTGGTCAAATGACTTTTGTGCCATCGCCATCAGCATCCGTGGAATTTGTTGTTAAACCCACTCACCAAAACTCAGCTCTTCCTGATTTTATGTGCCGGATTTTGACAGAAACAGCGACAGAGACAGATACAGATACAGACAGATAAAGAAAGAGAGAGAGATATAAGTAAGCAATCAGTCCTGCAATTTGAATTTCATAATTTTGATGTTGCTGTAGTTCAGAGAGAGAGAGAGAGAGAGAGAGAGAGAGAGAGAGAGAGAGAGAGAGAGAGAGAGAGAGCGCTCTACTATGTAAATAAAATGATGTTTATCATAGAATCAGTTGAGATTTGGATTATCATAACATTACTGCAATTGCTCTCTGTAACGAGTCTCATTTTGGCCCATTTGCAATGATTGTTTTACGCAAATTTTGCAAAAGTACCAAACAACTAAATTCATGTTTATTTGTAGAGTTTCAAAAAATATCTCTTATCAAAAATAAGCACTTTTTAATTTAAAAAGTTAACATCGAATTAAGTATTTATAGTTGTGTGTGTTTCCAATAGTAAAACAACTATAAAAAGGTAGGAAAGGTGAAAAGCAAAAACCGCGGAAATGAACAAAATTGTGGCCCAGATAAAAGAGAAACAGCAATTGGCATTAAAAGGCAAGCTTTTAATTACAAGTGGCAATCGAGTTTTACAGTTCTTCCCAATTGAACCTTGCCATTAAAATAAAGCGAAAAGAGTTAAATAAAAAAGGAAATGGCAACATGTGCAATTTTCACTCTTAACTATTAATTGTGTGTGTATGTTGAATCGAGTACCATCTAAAAGCAAAAGTGTAAAAGTAGAGACAACAACATATTTACACATTAAATTAGATTTCATCTGAAAATAGCTAAAATGTTTCCCTACCCACATAATAAAAGCGAAAAGACCAGAAAAGCAGTTAAAAGTCACAACATGAGAATAGCATATAGAAAATGGAGTCACGTGCGCATCCAATGGAATTACTCTCTTGGGGAAAAACTAGATATCTTCCATCCACCCATCCACACACAAGTCCCAAGGAACGGTTTAATATTTGAATTACGCGCGCTTGCTCTAGCTACGGCCGCTGTGCAGCACTGTGTGTGTGGCTTGTTGTGCATCACTAAACTATCGTCACGGCTATCGCATGCGCAGTTCTGAGCTAGTGGCTCAGCTGTTTGAACTAGTGATAAGGCCCGGTCCTTTAAAAATTTAGTTTCTTTCAAGTAAAGAATCCAACTAGGAAAATGATTTATTTAATAAATTGTAATAATTTTTCCAATATCCAATAATGAAGTATCAAAATAGGTATTGTCAACGTTAAGCAACTCTTTACCAAAGCTCAATAGTTAAAGTCGTGTATTTACCCAAATTGTTTTAATGAAGTAATATAAATCGGTTATAAAACCTGCTTCCGCCTTAAGCGACACGCGATTTGCATATAAAAAAATTGTAATCATAGCTGTCAAAGTTCAGGGCGAAGGTTAAAGTGCATTTGCTCTTAATTAAGTTTTAATTGTTGCCAGAATGAGGAAAGTTAATCAAGTACATAACCATTAAGTGCCCAAGCACGAAGTGCAAAATTAAAAAGTAATATAAGAGCAGTTGAATATGAGCAGAAGGCAGGGAACTATGAATTCCCTACGCTAGGTGGAAAAATTATAATCAAAAGCAATTTTTATTCGTATACAATTATTGGAATAACTAACTATCTTTCTTTAATATCCTGTTAAAGGATTTTTTCTCGTATGGTTTACTTTCCCAATGCATCGTATTAGAACCAATGTGTCTACCTCGAATTGTAAGGCAACAATGACAACTCAAAGAAACGGCACTAACAAATGCGCAACGCTAGCCAACACTAACAGCGGGACATAAGAAACACTACCTTGTGCCGTTAGCTAGCATGCGAAGCAGAAAGTAAGTCGCGTTTCAGGTGAAAAATGCACTTTGCATTCGCATTTGCAATGCAAAACAGAGTCCGAACATCGAGTTAGCCAAGCAACCCTAAACGCCACAAATCAAAACCAATCATTTGCACATTACACCGAGTTGGAAAAAGTCGTCACACGCAACGCAGTCGGAGGCAAACTTTTAGTTTGCACGTCAACATTTTGAATTCAAATAATTGTAAATAATTGCCTTAAGCGAAAATACAGTTGCTGCCACACCACAGTATCCAGAAACACTTGTTAGGTGTAATTTAATATTTTTTGTCAACTTAACTATGAAATGTACTCCTTTTACAGGGTATTCAAGACTACGTACTGCTTGAGAAAAACATCTAACGACACTTTTTGCTCAAAATCGTTTTCCATTTAGGGTGGCGTGAATTTGATATGCGGTTATATTTTCTGTACCTAGCAATTATGTAAAACTTTATAAACATCGATTTAAGCTACCAGTATTAATTATTATACAGCACTGATTCTGAAATCACGAGAATATTGTTGCAAAAGGAAATGGCATACTGGTCAAACCATTGATATGTTGCACAAACAATATGTCTGCAAAAAAATGATATTCCAGAAGTTTTGTATTTTAGCAAGCAATATTGTACTGTTAATTATCATAATATTTACCAAGTTAAATGTAAATTTCAAATAATATGTGTAAATAATTATGTTGACTTGCTCGCCAAATGCGCGATCAGCGTACTAGCCATAAATACCAAAAACATATGAGTGCTGTATGTTGCCACCTCGCTAAGCCGGCAAGATGAGCAACAAATATGCGCACAATTTGTAAACAAACAGATAGATTCAGCTAACTGGCAACGCTGCCAACTACGAAAATGAAAATAATGTTTTGTAAACAATTTATTGAACGCTTAATATTGTAATCTAAAAGCAAAGTAAAACATGAACATGAGCAGCATGTGAATCAGGCGCAACTGTAGCCCGACCAAAGGAAACACAAAGTGGACACGAAATATATTCAAGCGAAACGATATAAAAGTAATTTGGCCGGCAAGAAAGTGGCTCAGTTTTACATGAGCAGCGACGGGCAGAGGAACGCGTTGCGAGGACGAACTGCAACTGGTGAAGAGAGGACGAAGAAGAAGAAGACGACAGGGATCCGTCGACATTGTTGGCGTGACTGCGGCGCATTAAATCAACGTGTGAAACACAAACCGGAAGTGCAACGACGACGTCGCCCCCAACACCGCCCCTGACACTAACCCTAACCGTAACCCCAACACTGAGCGCAACTGGTGGTCGCAATGGTGGATGTCGGTGTCTATACCTGGGTAAGAGCCGTTCGGCGACATCGCCAATAAAAAATATAACATTTGCATTGCAAATTAATGAGAGATTTCCTTTGTTTTGGCTGCGCACAGGGCGCCAATTCTCACGGTCAGCTCGGCCTTGGCTACGAATCGGAGCTGTGCATGTCGCCACAGCGCCTCGCCAAGTGCTCCTTTCAACCCCACAACATACGCTGCATTCGCGGTGGCGGAGGTCATGTTCTAATCCTAGACAATAATGGGCGTGTCCATGCCTGCGGCTGGAACAATCGCGGCCAACTCGGACTCAATTCGACGGAGGAGTGCCACAATGAGTTTAGCATGGTGCCCACTGAATATTTTGAGGTGTGCCCTCAGTTTAATTTCACTGTTGAAGATTATTAAGTAATCTGTTCTGTTCGCAGGAAGTGCCTGTGGAGACCATCAGCTGTGGCTGGGACATCTCGGGTGCGATTACGCTGACGAAACGAGTCTTTGTGTGGGGCTCGAATGCCTTTCAGCAACTTGGCATTTGCCAGCGTGGTTTTATGGCGGTGCGTAGTCCGATGGCGGTGCGTTTGCCACGCGACGAACCAGCGCAAAGGATTAGCTTTGGTATGCGCTTCTGCGCTGTGCTCACCCAGGATCAGAAGATCTATGTTTTTGGGCGATTGCGTGTCATGGATCCCGCACCAATTGAACTGGACATTACTGCAACGTCCCTGCATCGCTGCAACGTGATGAAGATCCAGGCGCATAACCCCAATGAGCTGAGGATTGCCTCACTGGTTAGCGGACAGAATCACATGCTGCTCAAGTGTATCAACTTGGAGGCGGGCGGCAGCAGACGCATAATAGCCTTGGGCGACAACAAGTTTGGTCAGTCGAATGCATTTCAGTTTGAGGCAGATGTGCGTCAACTTGCTGTCGGCTGGACGCACAATGCGGTCGTTCTAAAAAACAATGGCATTCTGCTCTGGGGTCGCAATTGTTACGGCCAACTTGGCACTGGTGGCTTCACTGAGCAGCACGCAACGCCCCAGCCACTCCAGCTCGAACTGGAGGAGGGAGAGGCGCCGGCACATTTACATATGGGCGCCGAGCATGGGCTGCTGCGCACATCAGCTGGTCAAATATATACCTGGGGCTGGAATGAACATGGCAACTGTGGCAATAACGCAACTGAGAATTTGTAAGTGACGGGTGAATAGTGAATTGAGACTTCAATTATAAACGCTAGAAGATTCAATATTTGCGATTCCATTTAATAAATATTATTATTAAACATTTTGTTTCCTTTCAGATGCCAACCAACGCTGTTGAAGCTACCAGGATTTGCCAAATTAGCCGGAACTGGTGCTGGATTTTGCTATGCCATTGTGGAAGCTGTTGAGGAGCATGTCGATAAAACAACAATGCCTTAAAAAAGCAAAATATTATCCACCCCTAGTCACTTTTTCATGAGTTTGTCGCCTATCTTTTGTTGTTGTTATAATTGTGAAAGAAAAAAAAAAAAAAAAATGGTAATTTTAAGAAATGGCTTCATTTGTCCAATGGAAACAGATTAAGCTTAAGCTTCTGAATTTATGCAATACTTATTAAATAAGGTTTCCCATACGACTATTATAACAAGCAATAAAGACGGATATAATCCAAGTTTCTTCAAGATAGCCTTAAAACTGACCGACTGACATATATACAGACAGACATATATGCCTATATTCTTTCCGAGATATTTCTTTATGATTGAACTGAATGATGAGCCCACCTTTGGTTTCTTTTTCAGCAAGGCATTCAACTTATACTCGGTGAAGTCGATCAACAGTTGTTTAGTGCTAATCTCACCCATATCCCTAAAAAATGAAGGCAGCTTTGATTACTTTGAAAAGAAACAGGTACATCTATATAGATCTAGATATATATATATCCATTATCCATTTAAGTCACTAACTAGAGATGTAAGTTAAATGAAAAGTGTCATTCAAATTTATGAATGACATCTTGACAGCCAGTGCTGCCCATCTATCGCTCAACTTAAATGTCACATTTGGTTTCTCTGAGTTGGCTAGCAAAGTACAGAAATTCGATTTAAAGTTAAAGAAGAATAAGTGGAAAAAGGTGTGTTTTGCAATGTTTAAGTTCAATTTGATATCACAAACATTCGATAGGCACAAAGAGAGGCGTTGCACCAGTTTTGATAGACTCAAATTCAGCTCCCGTGATTTCCAAGACTTGAAGCAGAGAGTGTCAGAAGAAACTGCAAGTAGAGGTGTGCTAATAATATAATATATTTAAATATAGTTAAAATATTAGAATGTATTGCAACTGTTCCAAACTATATGCAAAGCGTAAGTTAGATTCCTATTCAACTTTTTCACACATGTAAATTAATAGATTTGAATTATTTTTATAGCCAGTGGCAGCGAGCTGCTGGCCAAGAAGATCTGCTGTCCGATGGAACCCGATCATGAGCCCCTTAAGCTACCGAAGCCTGAAAAGATTACTGGATTCTATTTTGAGGTGCTGAACGCACTCCATGGCGACACCGTGGGACATCCGGCTCACGGCAGCTTCACCTATCACAAGACTGCCGAGTGCTATGCACTCTTTGGTGACGATTTCTACGACTATCCAAACTGGAATTCGGACGAGGGAACCGACTCGTCGCCAGGTTTCGAGCACTTACGCTCTGCCAGCGTGAGTAATAATGAAAATATTCTTGATGGCGCCTATCCATCTATGCCAATGAGAAACTTTGGCTATATTTGTTCTTTTGCTGAAGTTGGCTTATCTATTTTAATCTGCCTCGATGGAAGGACGATTTTTTGATGATTATTCGGCAAATTAATTCGTTTTTGTTTTTATCAGAGCTCCGCTAATCAACCCAAAAATCCACTGCCAAAGCCCAGCGGGCAGAGCTACGTGGCAACGATACTAGGACGTGGCAACACTGAAGCACTGTCGCAGCTGTATTTGAAGGTGCTGCAGCAACAGGTGCCACAGCAGCATAAGCGGCAGCAACAACAACAGCTTGTTGGCGGCTCGCAAAACATGTCGATGCCCATCTACGGCTTGGCCAATGGCAATGCCTTCAATCTTACTCAGGCCTACACTCAACTGCTGATGGCGAATTTGCGTCACCAAACTATGCTGCAGCAGATGCAGCAGCAACAGCAACAACACGTGCAGCAGCAGCAGCAGCAGCTAAAATTTTCTAATGCGGCAACTGCTGCAATACTCTATGAGGGGATGTTGCAGCAACGCGTGCTGCTTCTCCAACAACTGTCTCATCAGCAAACGGCTCAGCTGCAACCATCTCAACAACTACCACGCATTCCGCCCGAAGCGAGCAACAAATGAATTCATTTTGACACTCAGATCTATTTGAAAGTATATTTCATTTGACTTCTTGCAATTGTTGAGAGTTTTTTGAACACCTTATCGATTATCCTTAAGCGATTATTCATATTTAAAGGCTTCTAAATTTTGGAATGCACTTTTCACAAATTTTTGAGTGCACCATCTCTCTGAAGTCATAAATCTTAATAAACAATTGCACAATTATGTAATATATCACGGAGAACCGTATCTTTCTACATTTTAACATTTAAGAACTTCATTTTTTTTATTTATTATGCTTGCATTCTTTTAATATCTGTTTTCCATTGCGAATAATTATTTGGAAAATAGTTCGCAGTTTTAAATTTGTGGTGCAAAGCTGACGCTATTGTGTCCGAAATCAAATTGTGTGTAATAATGGCCAATGAAGGTATCACCTAGAATCCAGAAGTTTGTGTCAATAGACGTAAAGCTAGACATGCAGTATTTGGTGTCACTCTCCTGAATGACGGTAATGTATTCGGCGGATGTCAGACTGAAAACGCTCTCGCCAATTAAGAAGTTGAGCGTTGGCAGACTATTTACAAGTGAGCAGTCCACAAAGTAATCCCCGTCCATTTGATAAGCACCAATAATATTATTTATATATGTGAGTTGATTAGCGGGTACAGCCAGCAAAGAGGTGCCCGTATCCGCAATTGCCTGACAGTCGCTGCAAATAACATTGTTATCCATTGCGACGACAGCCATGGCAAATTGCCAGTAGCCCATCTGGGAGACAGGGACAGAGGTCAGATTGCCTTCAAACAACGTGTTATCGACTCCACCGAGTATAAGTTCACCGCCTAGCTCAGCGGAACCATTATGCGTCAAATAGAAACCAAACGTGGGCTTATCAATCAGTCCCTGGTTCCAGAGATTATAAAATGGTGGCACAACCGAATCCTCGGCAATACTTGAATAGGCCATGCCCAATATACCATCGAAGGGTACACCAGTAAAACTGCTATTTGGCTGAGAGGTGGCCTCGGCAAAACTCTGATTCACAATGCTCAAGCCACTAATGCTGACTGTGTCCGAGGAGAGGTATCCCGTGAGACTGCCAGTGCCGTACTGTATACTGAAAGATTCTCCATTTGCCACATACGTGCTGGATGCACTCGAATTGTACTGATTATGAGTCTGGCAAGCGAGATCCGTAGGGAGGCAGTTCACCGATGGCACCCACAGATTTGACGAGCCGGTATCGAACACGACTTTGAAGTACTGGGGTGGAGTTCCTATAGCAATCTCACCATAATAATCCATATTCTGATTGTTGGATAGTTCCTCCGTTGTATAGTCAGCGTTGGAGTCCTCCACACTACCAGATAAATCATTGTTGGGTGCTCCATAATCCACATAGAGTTCACTCTGCTTGTGATACTTTTGACGGAGATGACGTGCAGCTGACTTCATGTGCTGTCGGGTCTTCTTTTGCTGGTGCTTGTGGATGGGTATGCGATGCAGTTCAGCACTGACCAGCGCCACCACAGTGGCCAGCAGCAGTAGTTGCTTTAACATTTTCACTTTATTTTTTGACTCTTTTGGTTTTTGGTTGCCTTGACTGGGCCACACTGAAATCAATTGCGTTTGCCTCTGCTATATATACCAAATCCATAAGTCTGTTCAGGATTGATCACTTCAAGATAATTATAAAATAATCGTTAAATTTATAAATTGATAACATAAATTGATTAATTTGCAATTAGGTTTCTCACTGCAATAATACTTTTCGAAAAAAAAGGTGTGAAGAAATTGAATTGAATTAAATAAGTAAAATTTAAATAGTTTTATTTGGTAATTTATTTTTAAAAAAAAATCTGCTATAAATCTGCAAGGGTACTTGAGTTTTTAACTTGAATATATATAAATATATTTTATATATATCTATTTTTTTGTTTGGGTTTTTTATGTTTTACTACTTAACAATCTCAAATTTTGTTTAATTTTTTAACGCATTGTTTTATATACAATAAAGTCCCAAATTTTGTTCAGTGTTGTCATGTCTTACTCTCGTGCAATAAGTACCCGCATTAGAGCAAGTGCCAATTCACAAAATTACAGAAGCTAAGCTCAGTCAATTATCAATTAGTTATCTTAAGTTCTAAATGCCTTAAATGTTAGAAGGTAAGCAAAAGCGCAAATTTCACCAGACCGGAAGGGTCGAACAAAAAAAATAAATAAATAAAGACGGAGCATGTGTTATTGTTTTTCGCAAGCCCGAACTGAAATCAACGAATGTCTACAAAATGTAAGCAAACATAGTACACTAAAGAAAAATCGCCAGACTTTTGTCGCAAAACGCAACTCACCTTATTATTCAGAAAGTATATTTGTATGGCGGATTCTTGTGTCTTAATGAAAACCAGTTTTTTTCTTCTTTTCTACAATTAAAAAAAAGTCAAATTTCTGCGCAGCTGTTTTAATTTTTGTTTATTATTATTTTATATATTATTATTATTTTATTATTTAAATTTATAAATTCTGAAAACTATAAAACGGTTCTAGTTTCCTGGGCAATTTTCGGAATTCCAATTCGTTTTTTATTTCTGAGTGTACGTTCAGGTTAAAAAAAAGAAAGAAACAAACCTTATCGGCTTTTACAAGGTAAATAAAATATTAATAATATTGTTTAATTATATTGATTGGAAATTAAGCTAAGGTGTTACGAACTTTATTTATGGAACTGAAAATGTATAAAAAAAAGATCAGGTTTTAGAAAAAGACTTGACAAAAATATATATTGTTATGAATCATGACGAATGATAGACCAAATCATTTGTACTAAGCTATGTTAAATAGTAATAAATATTTCGTAATAATGGAGAATTTACTATTATTTGAATCTTACTCTTTAGTCAAATTTTTCAATATTAATATTTATATTGAAAAATTTGACTAAATTGTCTAAATATTTAATCATCTACATCTTTGAAGCTAATCCGATGCGCTTGTACTCAATGTCGAACTCTATATAGTAGGGACCCATGAAAACAAGGCCCAATACCCAAAGATTGTCATACTCGGTGCCCTGTTCATCTGTCAACTCCTTGCCCAAACCCTCCAAGCTCGTAAAGCCGGAAACACACACATTCTTATACTGAATCACATAGTCTGCTGGGCTGAGTACAAAGTCACGTCGTCCAATGTTCAAAGTGATTTTGGGCAGGCTGGAAATTCTGGAGCAGGCCACTGTGTAGACACCATCCCGTTTGTCATTCTCCGTCAGTCCAAGTATTGTGTTTATACTCTTCAAAGCAGCTCGAGGTGCCACAATCAACGAGGTGCCCGAATCCACAATTGCCTCGCATTTCGAGCAGAGTTCCTTATCATTGCCCATGACAATGCTGCCAACGGTTAATTGCCAATAGCCAATCTTGGAGAGGGGCACATACGTCATGCAGCCACTGTACAAGGTTTGATCACTTGGTCCCAGTATCAGTTTGCCGCCATTTGAGTCAACAACACCCGTATTAGTGCGATTGAGGTAAATCGAGAATGTTGGCTGCGAGATGAGGCCCTGTTGAAAGAGATTATATATAGGCGGTACGATGCCATCAATGGCGATCTCCTTAAGGCCCAGCCCAAAGATGCCATCGAAATTGGCGCGACTAAAGATGCCCGGCGGTAGTGAAGTGATCTCCGCAAAAGTTTGTCTCTTAATGCTTAGGCCAGCCAGTGTTACATTGTCCGCGGAGAGGAAGCCCTTAAGAATTGTCGGCTGATTATTCCTGGTCGCGTATTGTATTTGAAACGGTTTCCCATTGGCCACATGACTGCTGGAGAGACTCGAATTGTAGCGATGCAGACGTGTGCAATTATCTGGCGGACACTGTATCGAGGGCACCCACAGATTCGAGGAGGCCGTGTCGAAGAGTACCTTGAATTTCTGCGAGCTGCCGATTTGAATCTCACCATAGTATTCCGTATTGTAGGCATTGCCGAGCGGCAGTTGTGGCTCACTTTGCGCAGTTACGTTTGCTTTTGTTCTGGACACTCTCAGTCTAAATTTGGACTGAAGAGCTGTCGTCTCGAATTGCAGAGTTTTCAGCGAATCCTCGCGATTCGAGTTCCGGACTAGCTGCACTGTATGACCCCTGCCCCTTCGTTTCGATTCAACGCTGGCATTGAGCAGCAGTCCCACCACAAAACTCAACATCCAATTGCAATGCATTGTCTTTCAGTTCTGAACCGAATTTAAGTTAACCTCACGTATTTATAAGAAGTACACAATATGCAAGAACTACCAACAAATCTCTGATACTGCAGCTGTTTATCTATTTTCTTGGCGTTCAGCTTAAACTAAAGCACGTGCTGCAGAAATTATTTAATTGTTCTTAGTATAGAATAATTCAAAGTCCAAAAATAGTCAAATAATTATTGTTTAGTTATTTTACAATTTTATTCGAATTTATTCTTAAGTTGGATTATCTGAACCAATAATTCTTAAGTGAAAAGTTGATTTAATTTAATTTTTAATGCAAATTGTATTGTGCGTATGTAAATTGAAAACAGTGCTTCAATTCTCACGTCGCTTATCACAATAATAACTAATTGATTAATAGTAAGTAATTGATTATTAATGATTTCCAGTTCATATAATTAATCATTTTATTGACTGCCGCCATTTGGTAGTATGCGGCAACAGAAGTAAATACCTGCTGGCGCCATCTAGCGTTTTGAAGAACACTGGTGCATTCGCCGCTTCTTGGCAGTAGCTTTTTGTAGGCACCGAAATATTTCGAAATGTTTGTAAGTCGAGACAACAACCGAAATGTGATATTTGAGTTGTACAATTTAAAATATATATTTCAAGATATTCAACATAAAATACTGTAGCTTCCAAAATAAAAATATAAAATATATAAAATCAACACTTCTTATACCAAAAAAGGGATTTTTATTTGTTTACGTCTTATAGGAAACTTAGTCATTCTGCATAATTTTCTTTTCTCGTTGCAGTTTAGCATAGCATGTACATACACCAGTCCTACAAATTAGGTTGCTGCATTGACTGGATTGAACTAATGCAATAAAAGTAGCATACTTTTCAGGGCAAAAATACGGTCACCTTGCAGGTTGCTGAACTTCCTAATTTTCCTTCAACATTGCGGCATATTTTTAGGTATGCTGAATTGCATACATCTGTGCTTAAAACAAAAGCGCTTTTCAGATCCATAGCGCATCAGAAAAATGGTTCTAAGTCGGTTAAATCTTTAAAGAGTTTTTAAGGCATCCCAACGATATTTTTGATCGAACTGCATTCAAATTTCTAAGCACAAAATTTATCAAGCAGCAAGTGGAAATCACAAAATCCATATATCTCATGAGTAAAGTGCATGGTTTAATTATAATACAACAATTATTAATAACATTTTGATTGTATTCGATACATATCATACGTTAACTTTATTTAATTGAGGTAAACGGAAATAGAAATATAAACTGCAAGAGTCAAGTTCTTCAAAATAAATACTCCTTTGACGCTCAAGTTGAAAAGGCGCACTTGGCCAATACTTTGTTGGCCAATAAGAAGCGAAATGAAAGTGATTGCAAAAGTTTTGCAAAGGAGACAGTCGCCTCATTGACGCTTAAAATATGCCAAGTTTTATTTGCTAATTGCAGCCCAAAGCTGTAGAAGAGGTTTTGTGGGGAGGTGTAGCGATTGCAGTGTAAATAGCCTCAAGGACAAAACTTTCAATTCCAATGCTGGCCAACAACCGTAGGCATCGAAAGAGACAGAGAAAGACACAGAGATAGATATAGAGAGATAGATATATATCGAGAGAGCCCTCGAGCTGTGACAACGTTTACAGAAATCACACAAAAAACCGCCGTCGGTGGACAAAAGTTTTCCACAGAAAACCAAGAAGGCAACGTTTTTCCGCCAATTTCTTTAACAAGTTTTTCCTTATTTTCCGTCTGTGTGTGCATGTGTGTGTGTGTGTGTTTGTTGCAGGGCAGTAGCAGTAGGAGTGACGGGGGGCAACGTTGTAATTGAATTTGCGTCAAGTTCTATTAAGTGGCGTAAACTTTTGGCCTGCGGAATTGAACTTGGCGCCAGTCGCATGTGCATTTTTCATATGTTTATCGCAGTGTTCAATATATTTGCCATTATTTGCCTTCCCCAACCCCCACACCCATCCACTCCCTCATCCTTAACCACTTTACCTATACCGCTGCCACTTGTGCTGCTTGCTTTGTTGTTTGGTTTGTTTGTTGTTGGGCCGCTTTTTCTGACATGTCTGCGCAATGAAAGTGACTGCGACGAGACTGAAATTGTACACTGAAAGAAGGCAAGAGGAATAACAATTGTAATGTAAAATCAGCTGGACACCATCCGCTGGAATGTATTTTGTATAATGCCGATATGACCAATCATACCTAAGTTCAGCAATAAACTATATTAAATTAATAACGGCTAATTCACTGTTACATAGTTTAATGAATCTCATTCTAGGAACAGTCTTAAAATATATTACAGAGAAAATAATGAATTGATTGAAGAACATAAATAAAATCCAATTTAAATGCAGTAGCTCAAACTAAGTAAAAAAGAAAATAGTTAATAAGTTAATAAAGGCTTTTAATTCGAATTCTTGTTGTATTAATGATGAAAAATTTGTTTTTTCTCAGTGCATTCGCGTGTTTTTGCAGTTGGGAGTTGTTTGCTGGTTATGTCTGAGTTAGGAACTGTTCTTATCGCCCAATTGGCTGTCATTTGCCAGCGACATGTGCGGTTATCAATGAAGCATTAAATTGTTTTGCCATTTTAGAGTTTGAGTCTGATGTTACAATTCCTTCAATACTATTCTATTTTCCTTTTTTTTTGTGTTGAATCTTGTTAACTGACATTCCATGTCTCAATTGGCGCTGCAATATCTCTCAATCTCTCAGTGGGCATTAGTCTTGGAGAAATCACTTCATTTGTGTTTAGCCGTGCGCACCAGACAATACACTCATTTCCATGCATTCATTCATTCATTCATTCGCTCATTCATCTCAAGTGAATAACGAGCATAACTACGATTCTATAGAAATTCTAAACACAAGCTCATTTCGTATGCAGGACCATTCGAAACTGGACCCCAAACATGGCCAATTTATGCATTGCACTGCACACTATGCAAAAAGTGTAGGGGGGGAAAAAAAATGAAAGGACAACCAAGTGGCAAAATCAAGTGTAAAGCCATTAAATTGTTAATGTTCCGCATTTGTTATCAGTTGAAGTTTTATTCTTTTCTTCTTCCAGTCTTCCATATCAGCTATCTAGGTCACGGGGCTCAACAATAAACCGATAACATGCGTCGTTTATATATGCGGGTACGAAAAACACAAGAAAAATAGACCCCGAAGCAAGTCGCAGCTGCTGTTTGAATGCGACGTGTGACATCAAATATTAAGATTGAAAATGGCAGCTGGTGACATGTCTCACAGTATTCACTTGCTGTTGTATTTGGGACTGATTTTCGGCACTTATGCAACGCTTTACACCCTCTGAGCCATAAAATGGTTAAAACGTGAGCATAATCCTAGAAATTGTAAGCAAATATTTTTTACATTTATGTTACTGCAAAGATAAAACATATACAAAGCATAATAATAGTGCAGCCAACTGACGGCTAAAATTGATGAAAATATAAATTGGTCTCATATTTGGCACAATCAGATATAATTATTATTTAATTTGTTTGCTGATTTGTCAAATTAATTGTTATTAAGTGATTATATTTTGAGCACAATACTTGATATTGTAAGCAAATATTTCTTTTACATTTATGTTGCTGCAAAGTTGAAACAAATGAATAAAGATCACAGAAATCGAAATTCGTTTCATAATTGGTACACTAATAAATTAATTTGTTTATTTGCTATTTTATTAAAGTAATCAGTAAGTGATTATATTTTGGTTTGCTTCAAATTATTTCATATCAGTTCAACCGAATCACACTTTATGAATGAATGACCTGTCAGCAATTTTCAATATCCCATTCTTACATTTGTTACTGCGACAACTCAAACAACAGCAACAACAACAACAACAATGGCCAACAATAGCCAAGGCCAATTAATTTGTATTTATGGCAAGGAGACCTAAACACACACAGTGTAAACACTTCTCTATACTTAGTTCGGAGCCCATAAACAACAATAATAACAACAATGGAAACTTGCAAGTCTAATTGAAAGTCTTTTGTGCCTAAACACAAATAACATAAAACACACACACTCAAGATGGTGTGTGAGTGTGTGTGTGTGTGTGTGAACACTTCATTAAATTTTGTGAAATGCAACAGCTGCTGGCTTAATAACAGGACAAGCCACAAAACTAACAATAGAAACAATTTCAACAATTTGCACATGAGTTGCAAAATTTTGCACAGAGAGCAGAAATTTTTGGTTTTTAAACAAGTTTTATGTGTACATGTTTTTTTTTATTGAGCAAATATTTATGAGCTGAGGGCTAAAAACATTGGCTTAGGCGCTACGAGAAGGATTTGGCCCACTGATGGGTCTAAGCTGTTGGCAGTTCAATTGACAGGATAAACAGGGCTATATTCCCCAACCCCACTTACACTTATATACATACATATATATATATATTCTTCATGTTGTATGCGCTGACAACTATTTCGGTTTGGTTCACCGATATCCATTCAAATTGTTAGCCACAAGCTCCTCTCCCTCTCTCTCTCTTTGTAGAAAGCCCACACAAGCACACACACACGCATGACAGCTATTTGCTTTTATGGCAGCTGTGTGCGTGCGTGTGTGTGTCTGTGTGTGTCTGTGTGTGTGTGAGTGTCTGTCGAGGACATGCATACGTCAGTTGGCTGTACAGTTTATCCAGAATATAAACTTCAACAATATACGTGTACACACATTGAAATGCCCACACCCTCCCCCTCCCCCTCCCCACTACAATCGTCTGCAACTATTTCCGCTTGCTGCAAACAAATCCCAGCTAGCAAAACATCGCAAGCAGCAGCAACAGCAATTGTTGGAACAGTGACCGGGTCCTATGGCGCGTATACGCAATATTGGCACTGGCATATTATTGAGTTGGCAGCCGACATTTTGAGAATCGAGCAAACACACACACACACACATACATACATACACACATAACAGTAAATGTCCTTAACCCCGTCTCATTAAATATGTTGACA